TTTTCCTTTGTATTTATGCTGCTTAGAGTTCAGTGAATTCCTCAGATATTCAGGTTTATACTTTACAGCTATTATTTCTTCTTATGTACTTTTTCTGCCTCAGTCTCTACGCTCTCTGCCTTTGGTACTCCTTTTGCATATTTGCTAAGACACTTACTTTACCCTGTGGGTTACTGGAGTATTGTTCATCTTTGAACATTTTACCCTCTCTGAACTTCAGTTTGAGTAGTTTAATATAGCCCTGTATTTGAATACACTCATGTTTTCTTCTCAGTTTCTAATCTGCTGTTAAGCCCATCCAATAAGTGTTTTATTTCAGAGTTAAGTTTTAGGTCAAAAACTTCCATTTTGTTCTCTTTTGTTGTTTCTTTTCTCTATTAAGTTTTCATATTTGTTTCTTCGATATTTATATGTTCTCTTTCAAATAATGGAACTAATTCATAATCTCTGTTTTAAAGTCCTGTTCTGCTAATTTCATCCTGTCTGTCATTTTTCATTCTATTTCTGTTGATTGACTTTTCTCCGGTTATGAGTCACATTTTACTGCTTCCTCAAATATCTAATATTGTTTAAAACTTTTATGCTGGACATTATGTTTTTGTGTTTCTTTCATGTTTTTATGAAAGCTTCATGAGAATGGAACTTTCATGGCCTTCTTTAGTGGAGTGATGAGTTTTCTTCAACCAAGGAGTTAATTTATTTGTGGGTCAGATTGATCTTTTTCCACGCTTGTTACCAACCTCTGTTCAGATGTGTCCTGAGTGGCTCTTATTCTAAAGACTAAAGTATTCTTCTCCCTTTCTGAGATCTCTGCTGAATGCCTAGAGTTGTTCAAGTTCTCTCACTCTTGTCCAGGCTGAAATCAAAGTACTCCGAGCCGTGTGCAGCCTCTGACTCTTGTTCATTTCAGAACTCTGTCTACCTGGTCTTGTGGAGTCTTGGTCTGCTGATCCACAGCTTAGTATCCACCCAGAGCCTGAACTGCAGAGACTCACTGGTGATCCCGTGTGCATTTCCAGAGCTCTTTCTCTGCACAGCTGCCTTCTCCCTGGCACCCTGTCCTACCATTTCCAGGTTCCTCAGGAGCTTCAATTCTACTCTGTCTCCATCTCAGTGACGCTGCTGTTTCCATTTGGAATATTCTTCCATGTGCCATGATCCGGAAAGAGAACCAGGCAGAAAGCCAGAAAGCTGGCAGGGGTCACCTCATTTGTTTGTCTTCTCTCGTGGATCAGGGTCCAACGCTGTCTGCTGTCCAATCCCTTAAAAGGTTAACTGTATACATTTTGTCAAGTTTGTAATTGTTTTGTGTGTGGTGTGGTGGGAGAGCTGTTCTGTCACAGCTGAAAGTGGAAATATAAGCCATATAAACATCATTCAGGGAATAATGTATCAGTGATGATTTCCAACATGATTTTTATTAGCATAGTCCTCATAAAATATTTTATTTTCAGCATTTAAGTTCCTCATTTGAAAAGTGATGCATATATTTTGATATACTGTACATTGGATTGTTTATTGAATATTTTTCTATTATTTACTCCCATTAGTAACTAAACTTGCTCAAAAAATTATATTGCCTCTTAGCGCTAAGCACTTTGCCATATTTTCGGTAATGTGTTTATGTGCAACCATAGTTATTTTACATAGTGCTATAAATTAGGAGTCTTTGTTCTGTGTTAGTGCTATTTTCCTAATAAATGTTTTTTGCATTCTTACTATTTACCTATCATTTAGTGTATTTTTACCAAAGGAAATTTCACTTCATTTAGTAATTCAAATTATTTTCCTAGAAATGGGTTTATCTAGGGTCTACGGTTGTGTCCCTTTGAAGTGTTAGTAAACATACTGCCTGACTTACTATACACCTTAGTTCTCAGGAGTCCAAGGACTTCGTGGCGGTTTAGGCCTCTTCTTGAGATCAGCTAGTATTCTTTGAGTTCTAAACTTCCTAAAGCAAAATATATTTCAGAGTTGTGTATGATTGCTTTTTGTTTCGTTTGTGATCTACTAAAAGATAAGTCCTTACAGGAGGAAAGAATAGATGGTTACATATCTTTTCCTAGTGATTTTTAGTTGGAGAATTCATGGTAAATTGATCAATCCTCAGCCAATTAGACTTTGACATGTACTAATAAAACCTAATTGAGGAATTATGAAGTCCTTTGCTCAGGAGAAAATGAGCACATAATTATACCATCAAGAGGTTAGAGGGTCAGTGTTGCCCAGCTGGAAGACTATGTGCTGAAGTCCCAGCGGCATCTGTAAAGGACGCTTCATAATGTATCTGTGAACTATAGTGCCACCACGGCCAGTTAAAAGATGTAGAATGATCCACTGTCAATTGTAGAAGTTCACCGTTAAATAACTGTTTTCCCCTCTTGCCTCTACCTCATTCAGGTGCTGGGGGATGGTCTCCATCAGACAGTGACCATTACCAATGGCTGCAGGTTGACTTTGGCAATCGGAAGCAGATCAGTGCCGTGGCGACCCAAGGAAGATACAGCAGCTCGGACTGGGTGACCCAGTACCGCATGCTCTACAGTGACACTGGGAGAAACTGGAAACCTTATCATCAAGATGGGAATATCTGGGTGAGTCACTGTCTGAAAGGCAAGGACACAGAGTTGAGTTGCAGATATTTGAGAATGGTGGTGGATTCGGTGTGTCCTGGGGCTGGGGGAGCAGCCACCTGGCCCCTCCCAGCCCTGGTGTAGCTGTTTTTGTTTCTTATCTTTCTGTTTCTGTCCTCCGGTACTTGCTGAGAGAGAGAGGAAATCTGAGCAAAGCAAAAGGAGGTGGTAAAATGAATCCAAACGCCAGTATGCCCCACCCAACCTGCGTCTTTCCTTAGTGATGGGAAACTGTTATCCTGCAAAGTAAACGTGTTCCCTTCCCCCACTTCTGGTATATTTCATAGAAAACAAAACCTTCCCCCCAAAACTGTGATGAAAGCTGGAAAAAAAAAGTATTAGGTAAAAAGTTTAATGGTGATTGAACCCTAGACTTCTTTAAACACAGTATTTCAAATTACTGTATTTTTATCTGTAGAACAGATCTGCAGTGGTAGCAGTTGTTCCCAAATACTGAACCAGGAATTAAGCAAATAGAATGAAAACAAAAAATACAATTTCCTGACTGAGGTTTCCATTTCTTACTCCCGCTCACTCTTACTGGCCTCAGACTGTTTCTGTTGAAGATATTTAGTAAAATAGGATGTCTAAGAAGGTCTGTTGCCAACAGGGCTCAGAGAAGCGATGGGCCTGGGGCTGGGGGACCACGGACTCTGAAAGGGTCCACCTCCTGCCGGATGCCAGCCCCAGTCCCGTTTTCTCGTTTGCTGCAGTGCAGGCTTGTTGGGATGAAGCACCGCCCCGGAGCTACTGACCATTTATGTATGGAGAGAAAAAGTAAGATAGAAAAATCGTTTTCTTTTAAAGAAAAAGCAAATGGAAGCCCAGCCATAGCCCTGAGCGCATCAGACACCACAGTGTGCGTCTTCTGCCTAGTTTTAAATATTTTAAAATATTACTAGTCTTTGCTTTGAGGTTCGCGCATGTGCCCTTGTCAATATTTTTCTATTAAAAATCACTGAGACGCTGTTTATTCACTTTTGCTTGTTGATCAAAGAAACCGTTTCCTTGGGCTGCAGTTTCCATCCGGGGCTTAGGGCAGTGGGTCTCAGTCTCCATTTGAGTCTCCTGTGAAGAATGTGAAGTATCTGGATGCCAGGCACAGCCAGACCAATTAGATCAGAATCATGTAAGTAGAAATTTGATTAATGATGCTGGTATTTTTAGAAACAGATCTTCACTTTGGGTGAAATATTGAAATTGTGAAGAAATAATGTAGAGAAGTAGAAGCAGTGATAAGTGGCAAGAAAAGAAAATTCTCGATATTATATTAGGAGTTTAAGCCCCCGTTCCAGATCTATATGCATTTTATCCTTTCATTCTAAGACAACACTATAAAGTTTAACCCAATTTCTCTTAAACTATTTTAATTAAACCAGAAAGGTATGTGTAGTCAATCAAATATTCACAACATTTAAATAAATTATTGTAAAATGCTAAATTTTGAGGGATTTATTTTAGTTTAATTATTTTAAAAAGAAGTCATAACCAAAATCAAGTAAGTCCATCAATATTAAACAACAAGGAGGAGGAGGAAGAGGAATGAGAGGAAATTTTTTTTTAATTTAAGTATTAGAGCGCTGGAGATTTTTGACCCCATCAGGGCCCACTCCTGGAGAATTTGCATTTTAAAAGTCCTCAAGTGATTTCTGTTAGTAGGCAGAGTGTACTGCTCCTAGGTGGGGTAGGCGGGCATTTCCATAGCAGTGTCCAGTGATAGCACCTGTCTTGTGAAATAAGGATATAATATCCTGATAATAAAAAGCTTATGGGCCAGAGTAGTCCTTTAGAAACAACTTCTGTTAAGCCATGAGTGTGTGGCAAGGGCACCTGTATGTCGGGATGTGTAAATCGTAGGAAGCAAGTAGAGGGGAAAGCTCTTCATGGAAGGTCTTCATCTCACAATTAAGATAATTCAAAGTCTCAGGCATAAATTATAGAAAAGTGGTTTTCAACCTTGGATGTACAACAGAATAACATAGAAAGCTTGGAAACATATGAATGTTGGGTCCCACTTCCAGAAATTTGTAACTGGATGGTCTAAGATGCAACACAGGGGTCCAGAGGCTAAAGCTCCCCCAGCCATTCTGATGTACATTCAGCACTGAGAACGCTGTTGTGGATTGGTTTTCAGCCTGTAGCTAAGATGAGGCTGGAGGAGATCTACTGTGAAAAACAGCAGTAGGAGAGGAAATCAAAGGACCTTCCTTAAAGTTAAGCAGAGAGACACAGACTGACCAAGTGACAAGCAACCACCAAGCTTCTCTGGGGGGAGACGATCAAGGCTCCGGTCACCACTCACCCCGCCCGTGGTGCACTCACTCTTTTCATCCTCTGTGGATTCTAACCTAAAACACAGTTAGGGGCTGAAGCCAGACACCAAACTATCTTTCACATCCCTGCTTATGTAAAGTTTTCCTCCCACGATTGAGAGACTCAAATCTTCCCCTGCTATGATGCGCTTCTCAAGGCTTTCTCAGGTTTCCTATGTATAACCTGTTAGAAGGGAGGTAGTCTGTGTAAGCATTTCTTACCCAAAGTCCATTAAACATACAGTAAATAAGAATTCCAGCCGATTTTTGCCAAGAGGCTGCATTTCTTTTTGCTTGGGAAATAAAATTACTGATTTTGAATGTCGATATTTCAAACCAAAATAGGAAATTGGAGTGCTCATAGCAAATGCCTTCCTTACATACTCTTATTTTTTGTGGGATAGTAACATGCTACACATTTGCCTGTAATGTAAACATCACTTTTCTTTCTCTTTTAAAAATTGTTTTATTAAAAGGTGAGAAAATGCTTATATATCCCTAATTATTTTTTTAAAACAGTTTTAATCCCCTTTGTTAATAGTGTCAGTCTGAGATCAGTAACCACTGAATGTATTAGATGGCGAATCCCACAGAACAGAAATGTGTTATTGTATTTAAATTACATGGTTAGATTCTTATCAAGAACACAGGGATATATAAGTTTGTATTCTCTAAGCAGTATTAGTAGAGTATTAATTTGCTTGATGTGTTAAAAAGTCAGATCTCTTTATCCTTTATATGCTTTCCCCACATACATTACATATACACACATAAAAATTCATTTGTTTCTGACAAATTTGAAACATTAAAAAATCTGGAAAGGAAATAGTAGTGATTAATTCAGTAAATTCTTTGATTTTCTGAATATCAAGTCAATAGCTAGAACACGTATTCTTTTTTTTTTTAATAATAGCCTATCAGCTAATATGTGCATAAAGAAACATCCTTCTAGATTGGCCTCTGTCTAGATGTTTGGAAAGTGAAAACCATGATATGGATTCAAAAGGCTTGAATTCAAGTATCTGGTTTCATTTATTTGGTTTTTAAAATTGGAAGGGTCTCTTGTGCCTCAAATTTTTAATCTAAGAAATGGAAATGATAATTTTTGGGAGATTTAAGTGAGATTGTGTAAGAACTTTCAGAAGCTACAAAGACTTAGAAATGCGTGTTATCAACTGCCAGTCTTAGGAGCATTTTGCAAAACTACTGTGGTATTTGTATTCAGCAATAGTCAGTTACAATTTTCAGATATTTTTAGTCCCCCTCTGTCCTTCCCAGATCCAGTTGACCTCTGTTTGCTCTTATTGATGATTTAAAATATCTGAAAATATTTTAGATGAAGGAAACATGACTTAAAAAAGTAGGAAGAGGAGGGTGGACAAATCTCTGGCATATTTCCAGTTAACACATGGAGTGGCCATTGCTAGTGTCAGCCAGGCTTGTGAGGCATGGCTGGTAGACCGAGCTCCGTGCCAAGCACCACTGCAGTGCCTGTAACCAATTATTTGTTACCATAATCGTGGCCATGTGTCCAATGAGCCATGTAAGGGGACATTGTTTATCATGAATGGATTAGTCTATCTTTTCAGCCATTTGTTGTCGTGGTTGCACTGATTTTCCAAATCACTTAAAAATCTGTTCCAGTTATAAATGTAAAACATAATGTAACTGTTTCACAGCTCAATTGTGTACTTAAATTCTTTCCAAAAAATTCTAGAATTGATTCCTGCATGTGACACCGAGGAAGACAACTAGCCCTGTCGCTTGCTCGTGTATCTTCCATCACATAATAACAGCCTCTTCTCCATGTAGGGCACGAAAGGAATTTTTCCACCAATAGATGGGGATTTCCCTTGCTTGTTTATGTAAACACGTGCATTGTTGCTGTAATCGCTCACCTGGGGAACAGACCTGGCAGGCATATTCACATAATTTTATAGACAGCTTATTGAGAAATGAAACATACCAGAGTTAATTGACATTAAACCCTTTCTAAAATGACCCTTGGCATAAATAGGGTGAAAATCTTTAGGAATTATATGGAAGAAAATAATTTCCAATCTGAATTTAGAATCGACTTATTTCTGTGAAATAGATTTTTCTGTTTACACCCCTCTTAGAACAGGTGGTATTTTTAAAGCCCCATGAATTTTAATAAGTTGAGTGGATATTCCGGATTCTTTTGCATATCCTGTAATACCTCTACTAGTGAATTTTGATCACCTTCCTAAATACACATTTGTATTGTGAGATTCTCATTTTAAGAGGTCATGAGAGTTTGTCTTGTGTCAAGTTTGTGAGTCACTCAATATTCTATACATATTATACACATATAGAAGCATCCTAATCAACATAGTTATGTGTTTAATGGTTCTTTCCAAAACTTTGGAAGATAAATGTAAGATGTCATTAATAATAGTGAATATATTGTTGGCATACACATTTAGGAAAAGGAAAATGATATAATCTTATAGGATAACTTTTCTTACATGCAATGGAATAGCAGTATGTAATCCTTCATTGTCTAGTGTATTTTTCATCTATGAGACAAAACAGGATATATGCAACCATTGTTCTAACTTTTTAAAGTGTGTTTGGTTGCTTGGAGAGCTCTCTGAGAGAGCGAGTGTTCTCATTAAGCATAAGGGT